GTATTCCCAGGTATTTCATTTTCTTTGTAGCAATTGTGAATTAGAGTTCACTCATGATTTGGCTTTGTCTATTATTGGTGCATAGGAATGCTTGTGGTGTTTGCTTGTGGTTTTGTATCCTGAGACTTTGCAGAAGTTGCTTAATAGCTTAAGGAGCTTTCAGACTGAGACAATGCAGCTTTCCGAATATACAATCGTGTCATCTGCAAACAGAGACAATTTCACTTTCTCTCTTCCTCTTTGAATATCCCTTATTCTCTTCTCTTGCCTGATTGCCCTGGCCAGAACTTCAAACACTATGTTGAATAGCAATAGTGAGAGACGGCATCCTTGTCTTATGCCAGTTTTTCAAGTTTCCAGCTTTTGCACATTCAGTATGATATTGGCTATGGGTTTGTCATAAATAGCTCTTATTACTTAGAGATGGGGCCCATAAATACCTATTTTATTGAGTGTTTTAGCATGAAGCGGTGCTGAGTTTTACCAAATGCCTTTTCTGCATCTATTGAGATAATCATGTGGTTTTTGTCATTGGTTCTATTTATGTGATGGATTAGGTTTATTGATTTCCGTATATTGGACCAGCCTTGCATCACAGGGATAAAGCCAACCTAACCATGATGGATAAGCTTTTTGATGTGCTGCTGGATTTGGTTTGCCAGTATTTTATTGAGGATTTTTGCATCAATGTTCATCAGAAATAGTGGTCTCAAGTTTTCTATTTTTGTTGTGTCTCTGCCAGGTTTTGATATTAGGATGATGCTGCCCTCATAAAATTAGTTAGGGAAAAGTCCATCATTTTCTATTATTTGGAGTAGTTTCAGAAGAAATGATTCAGCTCCTCTGCACCTCTGGTAGAATCTGGCTGTGAATCTGTCTGGTTCTGGGATTTTTTGGTTGGTAGGCTATTAATTACTGCCTCAACTTCAGAACTTGTTATTGGTCTATTCCGTGATTTTTTTCCTGGTTTAGTCTTGGGGGGGCGGGAGTTGAATGTATGTGTCCAGGAATTTATCCATTACTTCTAAATTTTCTAGTTTATTTGGGTAGAGGTGTTTATAGTATTCTCTGATGTTACTTTGTATTTCTGTGGGATCAGGGGTGATATCTTCTATATCATTTTTATTGTGTCTATTTGATTCTTCTCTCTTTTCTTCTTTATTAGTCTGGCTAGCAATCTATTTGTTAATCTTTTCAAACAGCTCCTGAATTCATTGATTTTTGAAGGGCTTTTCATGTCTCTATCTCTTTCAGTTCTGCTCTGATCTTAGTTATCTCTTGTCTTCTGCAAGCTTTTAAATTTGTTTGCTCTTACTTCCCTCGTGCTTTTAATTGTGGTGTTAGGATGTCAATTTTAGATCCTTCCTGCTTTCTCCTGTGGGCATTTAGTGCTATAAATTTTCCTCTTAACAATGCTTTAGCTGTTTCCCAGAGATTCTGGCACATTGTGTGTTTGTTCTCCTTGGTTTCAAAGAACTTACTTATTTCTGCCTTAATTTTGTCATTTTCCCCCTAGTCATTGCGGGTTGTTCAGTTTTCATGTAGTTGTGCCATTTTGATTTGAGTTTCTTAATCCTGAGTTCTAATTTGATTGCACTGTGGTCTGAGAGACTGCTTGTTATGATTTCCATTCTTTTACATTTGCTGAGGAGTGTTTTTCTTCCAATTATGTGGCCAACTTTAAAATACATACAATGTGGTACTGAGATAAATGTATACTCTTTTGATTTGGGGTGGGGAGTTCTGTAGATATCTATTAGGTCTGTTTGGTCCAGAGCTGAGTTCAAGTCCTGAATATGCTTGTTAATTATTTGTCTCATTGATCTAATACTGACAGTGAGGGGTTAAAGTCTCTCACTATTATTGTGTGGGAGTCTAAGTCTCTTTGTAGGTCTCTAAGAACTTGCTTAATTTATCTGGGTGCTCCTGTGTTGGGTGCATATATATTTAGGTTAGCTCTTCTTATTGCATTGATCCCTTTACCATATGGAATGCCCTTCTCTGACTTTTTTTATTTTTGTTCATCTGAAATCTGTTTTATCAGAGACTAGAATTACAGTCCTTGCTCCCTTTTTTTTTCTTTCTTTCTTTCTTTCTTTCTATTTGTTTGGTAAATATTTCTTCACCCATTATTTTGAGTCTACGTGTGTCTTTGCAAGTAAGATAGTTCTCCTGAATACAGCACACCAATGGGTCTTGACTCTTTATCCAATTTGCCAGTCTGTGTCTTTTAATTGGGGCATTTAGCCCATTTACATTTAAGGTTAATATTGTTATGTGTGAATTTCATCCTGTCATCATGAAGCTAGCTGGTTATTTTGCACATTAATTGATGCAGTTTCTTCGTAGTGTTGTTGGTCTTTATATGTTGGTATGTTTTTGCAGTGGCTGGTACTAGTATTTTCTTTCCATATTTATTGCTTCCTTCAGGATCTCTTGTAAGACAGAACTGGTGGTGACAAAATCCCTCAGCAGTTGCTTGTCTGCAAAGAATTTTATTTTGCCTTCACTTATGAAGCTTGGTTTGGCTGGATATGAAATTCTGAGTTAAAAATCCTTTTTTTGGCCGGGCGCGGTGGCTTATGCCTGTAATCCCAGCACTTTGGGAGGCCGAGGCGGGTGGATCATGAGGTCAAGAGATCGAGACCATCCTGGTCAACATGGTGAAACCCTGTCTCTACTAAAAATACAAAAAATTAGCTGGGCATAGTGGCGCGTGCCTGTAATCCCAGCTACTCAGGAGGCTGAGGCAGGAGAATTGCCTGAACCCAGGAGGCGGAGGTTGTGGTGAGCCGAGATCGCGCCATTGCACTCCAGCCTGGGTAACAAGAGCGAAACTCCATCTCAAAAAAAAAAAAAAAAAAACAAATCCTTTTTTTAAAGAATGTTGAATATTGGTGTCTACTCTCTTCTGGCTTGTAGAGTTTCTGCTGAGAGATCTGCTGTTAGCCTGATGGGCTTTCCTTTGTAGGTAACCTGATCTTTCTCTCTGGCTGTCCTTAACATTTTCTTTTTATATTTCAACCTTGAAGAATCTAACAATTATGTGTCTTGGGGTTGCTCTTCTCGAGGAGTATCTTAGTGGTGTTCTCTGTATTTCCTGAATTTGAATGTTGGCCTATCTTGCTAGGTTGGGGAAGTTCTCCTGGATAATGTCCTGAAGTGTTTTCCAACTTGGTTTCATTCTCCCTGTTACTTTCAGCTACACCAATTGTAGATTTGGTCTTCTTGCAGCGTCCCATATTTCTTGAAGGTTTTGTTTATTCCTTTTCATTCTTTTTATCTCTAATCTTTTCTCACAGTTTATTTCATTTAGTTGATCTTCAGTCTCTCACAACCTTTTTATATTTGATCGATTTGGCTATTGATACTTGTGTATGCTTCACAAAGTTCTCATGCTGTGTTTTTCAGCTCCATCAGGTCATTTATGTTCTTCTCTGAACTGGTTATTTTAGTTAGCAATTCCTGCAACATTCTATAAAGGTTTTTTAGCTTCCTTTCATTGGGTTATAACATGCTCCTTTTGCTCAGAGGATTTTGTTATTACCCACTTTCTGAAGCCCAGTTCACCTTCTGTCAACTTGTTGAACTCATTCTCCATCCAGTTTAGTGCCCTTGCTGGAGAGAAGTTGTGATCATTTGGAGGAGAAGACGCATTCTGATTTTTGTTATTTTCAGCATTTTTGCACTGGTTTTTCCTCATCTTTGTGGATTTATCTACCTTTGATCTTTGATGCTGATGGCCTTTGGATAGGGTTTTTGTGGGGACATCCTTTTTGCTGATGTTGATGTTATTGCGTTCTGTTTGTTAGTTTTCTTTCTAACAGTCAGGTGCCTCTTCTGCAGGTCTGCTGGGGTTTGCTGGAGGTCTACTCTAGACCCTGTTTGCCTGGGTATCACCAGCAGAGGTTTCAGAACAGCAAAGATTGCTGCCTACTTTTTTCTCTGGAAGCTTCATTTTAGAGGGGCACCTGCCTGATGCCAAACAGAGCCCTTCTGTATGAGGTGTCTGTCAACTCCTGCTGGGAGATGTCTCCCAGTCAGAGGAGGCACAGGGATTAGGAACCCACTTGAGGAGGTAGTCTGGCCCTTATCAGAGCTCAAGCACTGTGCTGGAACATCTGCTGCTCTCTTCAGAGCCAGCAGGCAGGAACATTTAAGTCTGCTGAAGCTGCACCCACAGCTATCCCTTCCCTTAGGTGCTCTGTCTCAGGGAGATGGGAGTTTGATCTGGGAGTAAGTCCTTAACTGGGGCTGCTGCCTTTCTTTCAGGATGCCCTCCCCAGTGAGGAGGAACACAGAGAGGCAGTATGGCCACAGCCACTTTGTGGCAATGCAGTGAATTCCACACAGTTTGAACTTTCTATGCAAGCCTCACCAACAGTGGACATTCCTCCCCCCACCAAGCTCGAATATCTCATTTTCTGACTTCAGCTCCTGCCCCTTTTCAGAGGAGTGAACGCTTCTGTCTCACTGGGGTTTCGGGTGCCACTGGAGTATTAAAAAAACAAAAAACTCCTGCAGCTAGCTCGGTGTCTACCCAAACAGCCACCCAGTTTTGTGCTTGAAGCTCAAGGCCCTGGGGGTGTAGGCACATGAGGTAATCTCCTGGTCTGCAAGTTACAAAATCCATGGGAAAAGCATAGTATCTGGGCTGGATAGCACAGTCCCTCACAGCTTCCCTTGGCTGGGGGAGGAAGTTCCCTCGTCCCTTGCACTTCCTGGGTGAGGTGATGCCCCACCCTGCTTCTGCTCACCCTCTGTGGGCTGCACTCACTGTCTAACCAGTTCCAATGAGATGAACTGGGTACCTCAGATGGAAAGCAGAGATGATTCACCTTCTGTGTTGGTCTCACTGGGAGCTGCAGACTGGAGCTGTTCCTATTCAGCCACTTGCCGTCTGTCTCTATCAACTTTACTTCTTATTCCATAAAATAAAACCATCATGAGGTTAGATGCCATTAAACATACATAATATGATTCGCGACCCGGAGCTGCGCGGGCGCGGACGAGCCGGGGCTCCGGGTGCACGGCGGCGGCGGTGGCACCCTGTGCTGGCTGGAGGCCGCAGAGGCTCACCATGCCCGGAAAACTCTAGCTCCCATAGAGTCGGCCGACTTCTAGGCGGAGCCGCGGCCGCTGATGAGCAGCCACCTGCAGAGCCCCCCGCCGGCGCCTAGCAGTGCCGCCTTCGGCTTTCCCGGGGCGCGGGCCCCGCGCAGTCTCTCGCCCCTCTTGCCGCCCAGGAGCCGCTGGGCTGCATCTGCGAGCACTAGACGTCCACCGACATCAGCGCCTACATCGACCTGGCCGCCTTCAACGAGTTCCTGGTCGACCCGTTCCAGCACAGCCGGCAGCAGAAGGCCAAGGTGGCCACGGGCCCCGAGGGCGGCGGCGGCGGCGATTTTGACTACCCCGGCGCGCCCAGGGCCCGGCTGCGCCGTCATGCCCGGGGAAGAGCACTGGCCCCCCGCCCGGCTACGGGTGCGCGGCCGCCGGTTACCTGGACTGCAGGCTGGAGCCCCTGTACGAGCGCGTCTGGGCGCCGGCGCTGCGGCCGCTTGTGGTCAAGCAGGAGCCCTGCGAGGCGGACGAAGCCAAGCAGCTGGCGCTGGCCGGCCTCTTCCCCTACCAGCCGCCGCCCTAGCACCCGCACCCGCCGCCCACGCATCTGGCTGCCCCGCACCTGCAGTTCCAGATCGCGCACTGCGGCCAGACCACCATGCACCTGCAGCCCGGTCACCCCACGTCGCCGCCCAGGCCCGTGCCCAGTCCGCACCCCACGCCCGCGCTCGGCACCGCCTGCCTGCCCGGCCCGGCGGCGCACTTAAGGGGCTGGGCGCTGCGCACCCAGATCTCCGAGCCTGGGGCGGAACTCACTGAAATGGGGGTCACCAGTGGAAGCCACCACCCCAGTCAGACCAGAAAGCTAGATAGTGGGTCAGCTCTGAGGATGTATACCCCTGGAGAGGGAGGGGAGACCTGGAGATCTGGCCGTGGGGCGGGCGTGGGGGGTGAAGGGCCACTGGGACCCTCAGCCTTGTTTGTACTGTATGCCTTCAGCATTGCCATAGGAACACAAAGCACGATCAGTCCATCCCAGAGGGACCGGAGTTATGACAAGCTTTCCAAATATTTTGCTTTATCAGCTGATATCAACACTTGTATCTGGCCTCTATGCCCTAGCAGTGCCTTGTGCAATGTGAATGTGCGCGTCTCTGCTAAACCACCATTTTATTTGGTTTTCGTTTTGATTTGGTTTTGCTCGGATACTTGCCAAAATGAGATTCTCCGTCGGCAGCTGGGGGAAGGGTCTGAGACTGTTTCCTTTTAGTTATGGGATTACTTTGGATCCTGGGGGACCAATGAGATGAGGGGGGTTCTCCTTTGCCCTCAGCTTTTCCCCGGCCCCTCCAGCCTGGGCTGCCCGCAAGGCTTGTCACCCAGAGGCCCTGGCTCCTGGTCGGGAAGGGAAGTGGCCTCCCACCAACGCATCACTGGGGCTGGGAGCAGGGAAGGACGGCTTGATTCTCTTTTTTGGGGGAGAACATAGAGTCTCACCCTAGATGTTTTATGTATTATATCTATAATATAAACATATCGAAGTCAAAAAAATAAATATACATAATAGAAAAACAGGTTTTCTTATTCTAATCTAGATTTGCTACACAAGACCATCTACAGAATGAATGCCATGAATATACAATCTGTACCCAATAAGTTGTACATTTTAGTAAATGTTCCTGATTGGAAGGGTAGCAAATGGAATTTCTGGCTTCTTAGATCTTTACTGTAAGTTTGACTGATTATCAGGATATTTTGATTTTTAATTTCATATTTTCAATACTGTGAACTGTTTTGCAGTGATTTTTTGGTGCCATGTGGCAAAATTGGCTTTAAAATATTAATAAAATCCATTGTTTATAAAATAAATAAACTCTAGGCCCCATAGCACATCGTCCATAAAACATCTGCTGTCTTTCAAGGTACAATTGTTACCACTATCATCTAACCATTATTTTATGATAACTATAAAATCATCACCTCACAAGAAAATATTCCATAAAATAGACTTTGCCTTTATACTTTAAGAGTCTACCTGAGCCAACATTATTCTCCTTTGTAGGATTTAGATTCCACAGATTATAATATGTGACTTTTTCTGTATTCACTGCAGATTTGCAAATACCTTACCTTTCTGGGGCTTTAATTTGCACCTCCAGCATCTGGGAAATGACATTTTCCTGCTGCAGACTCTCTTTGGTGTAGTCATCCTCCTGGCCATTTGTGTTGCACCTTGGGCACTGAAGCACATGAACCGTCGAGTAAGCCAGATGCTTCTCCTGTCGCTACTGTCAGTCTGCACCCTGGCCATCATCTTTGTGCCACAAGGTGAGAAAAGATCCCAGGTAGAGGAAAGAAAATGCCTTTTTCTCTTTTCTCAGGGATGGTACGAATCATACCTATCTGAAGCCAGAAGGAAAGGGAGAATCAGGTTCTCAGGATTCCCTGACACCAATCTGGAGATTTAGGACAGATTCTGCCACAAGTTACTGGAAAACAAGTCAAAGATGAGTACGATTGGCTCAGATATATGGTTGTCTTCACCACATTTGAGAAGCATTAAGAAATTGGTGTTATTTATTCATGATAGTTTCTCTAGGACAGCAATCGATCGCTTGCCCTTTGGCCAATCAAACTCTTAGTAAGTATTGAGGTGGTGAGGCTTTGTATCCCAATATGAGAACACAATAGTGCTATTTCCTCCATCTGGGCTCTTTCTTATTATTACAGCTTCAGTGATAAAGTATGCCCTAATCCCTACATATCCACTTGTGTGCCTTGTATTAGGTCACCATAACTGCAATCCAAGTTCAGGGGAGTCATCTTGACTTCAAAGGAACAAAAGTCCCCCATCATTATATACAAAAATGTCCAGGAGGCAGAAGGCAATTGTCAGTTAAGACCTTCTCTTAGAATCTAGTTTCATAAATTAAATGATCACATGCAATAAATAAGGGAACCCAAGTTGTTAACAGGTTTCACCTAACTCCCAGAGTAGTAATGTATTTAACAAGATCCCAGGTTGGTGTGCTCCAGTTCGCCTCTTGACGGTAAGCAATGATACAAGTCTGGTACAATGCAACAGAACCCACTCCAATGGCAAGAGGCAATTATAACATTTTTATCTTAATTGGATAGAATCCTGCCTCTGAAACTTCCCTTCATTGGTTTCCAAAATCTGATATTTTTCTCCAATAAAGGTCTTTATTCTTCATCCTTGAAACACTAATACTCTCCAACTTGTCCTTGAACATAGGAACCCTGTCCTTTTATGACTGTCTTTTGCAATCATAGCCCCATGTTAATATTGTGTATATATCTGGGTTTTAAAGTCTATGAGGACATAGATGAGTCTTACTCTCCCTAGTATTGCACACACGACGGTCCTGTGTTCTGCAAGGAGGGCAGAGGGGTCCCTGGACAGAATAAATGAGACAAAAAAAAAAAAAAAAAAAAAAAAAAAAAAACCTCTTTAACTCTAATGTTTCCTCTCCTCCTATGGTGTAGCCCTGATATATAGTGAGAATTGAAGCATCAACTTTTATTCACTATTAGCCACTGCACATTCTTTGCCTCTATGCAGTTTTCCTACAATAAATTTTAGCCTTGGAAACACCTCCAATGCAGTCCTTTTCACTTCTACCTTGGGGGATTCTGATTCCTTCAGCTCAGATTTCCTGAGGCCTGTGGTCTTCCTTTCTCTAGAAATGCAGACTCTGCGTGTGGTTTTTGCAGTCGTGGGCTTGGGAGCTTCTGCTCTTGCCAATACCATAGGTATTGCCCAAGGAAATGAACTAATTCCTTCCATAATCAGGTATGAAAGCTTATATGTACTCTGTCATTCTCAAAATGGACCTTTCTCAACCAGTTGACACTTAACGAGGGAAAAACTCTAAGACTAGTTTAAAAAAACAATCAAATGTAATAGCCATAAAAACAACAAATTACAGCCCAAGTTTATATCACAGTGACCTTATGCCAGACACTGTGTTAAGTCTTTTGATGTAGTATCCCACGTAAACTTCTGAACCACCTGAAAGGTTGGTGCTAAGGATAACAGTATTTCATAAATGATGAAAATGTGTCTAATTCAGTTGTGAATTTAAAATAACTTGCTAGCAAGTAAGAGGAAATTTCAAAAGCAAGAGTATGTTATTACCTCCATGTATCTAAATGCTCACTCATAATCACAGCACAATGATAAATCACAAATAATATGTGTGATTTTTAACAACTTTTTCTCTATTGTCATTTGCACCCCAAGGGGAAGAAGTATGGGAATCACTTCAACCTTTGGTAATATTGGGGCAGCTCTGTCTCCCCTCGTGATTATCCTAAGCATATATTCTCCATCCCTGCCCTGGATCATCTATGGAGTCTTCCCCATCCTCTCTGGCCTTGTTATTCTCCTCCTTCCTGAAACCAGGAACAAGCCTCTTCCTGACAGCATCCAGGATGTGGAAAATGAGTGAGTAAATAGCCTAGCTGCCCCTCAGAGGATCTGTGTGCTATAGACCTATGCTGAGGAAGGCAAAACATCATTTAGGGCCAGCACCCCTCAAAAAGGCTTAGACCTACGCTATTCCCATGTAGTCAGTGCCTTTGGTCTAGATATAGCCTCATCCCTTCCACAGTGACCTCCGACATCTCCCAAGGCTCTCCAGGTCACACAGACCAGCTCTGCCCAGCCTGTCTAGGAGGTTAATTTGTGGCAGCCCTAGTATAACATGCATACTCTTGAAGGTATTTTACAAACATGCAGAGATCCAAACACCAGCTTCTCATACCTGGGGAGCCCTCAGCCCAGTGAGTGTACCTGTTAGCGGTCTGCGATTGCCAGTGCTTACAGGCCCTGACTCCCAGGACACTGAAGAATTTGTGAGAGACTGTATAGAAAATAAGAGCCCCTCACACACATGATATTTATATCACATGTGAGATTCAGTCCATCTAATTTTCACTGGGAAAAAAGTGTTGGAAAGGGGGAAAAGAAGTGGTAAGTAAAGTGATTTTTTAACTGACGAAGAATGAGAAAAGGTTCTAAAACTTTTCTGCGCTTCTCTTGCCTTTTCCAAAATCCCTTTGGCCAATGTCATGACATTCAAATTTGAGAGTAGAAACTATTAAAACTGCCTTCCCACATTCTAGGCTGGGAATTTGGTATTTTACTTCACAAGGTTTACACAAACACTTGGGGGCAGAGGCATGGTTTTTATTAAAGCTGGTGGGCCAAGAATCAGTATATCCTAAAGAATGCAGGACTTACGGTGTTTGATTTTCTGCTCTTGTGTCAGTTTGCTGAGAATGATGGTTTCATGTTTAGTTCATGCCTTTCATTTTTGTGCTTTTTTCTTTGTTGGTTTCTTTATATTTCTACCAGGAAAAGATGCTCCAGAAGAGCAGGGCAGGAAGATACCTGCAGCACAGTGACACGATTTTAAGGAATTCCAGGTGCTGACTGCTGATTAAACAGCAAGACAAAAGAAAAATCGAGACATTTCTAGATATTAGTAAAATTCAAAAAATAAATAAATAACAAGATATAATGGATAAATACATTCCATTTACAACTTTGATACTAAATGATTAAATATAAAATGTCTACAAATAATCATAAGAAGTTTGAAGAAAGTCATAACACTTTAAAAGGAATCATAATAGAACATTTGAATAATTGTATGTACTTAGCATGTTTCTGGATATGAAGATCAAATAATATTAAAAACAATGATTCTTCATCAATTATTTAATAGAGTAATTGCTGAAATCATTACAATGTAAAAAACTCATTTTTTGTAAGAACTTTAAAAATAGTTCCAAAACTGAACATCCATATACAGAAAGATAAAACTAGACCTCAAATCAAAATGAATTAAAAACTGGAATCTATGACCTCAAACTATGAAACTACCACAAGAAGGCATTGGAGAAAATTTCCAGTACACTAGACTGTGACGGCTATGGGGAAATTTTCCTTTTACTTGAGAAAAGCAGAGGAAGAAGTAGAGGACCTTCGTATTGCACCTTGGGTACTGGCACCACCACAGGTTGGCAGAGCACTAAGCAGGCTCTTGGGGTCTCTAATTCTAGGACTAGATTCTTAAATGTTATTTCTTGACCTGCCCTGGGCCAGAGAGGAGCCCACTGCCCCAGAGGGTAAGTCTCAGGCCAGGCAGCATTCATGACAAGCTGACTTAAGATCTTGAACCTTAAGGAAACATTGGCAGTAGGCTGGCCTCGTGGTCAGTGGTGGCAGTGGCTACAAGGCTAGGCTCCTCTGCCTTTGGAAAGGGGAGAAAAGAACAGAAATAACTGCATCCTTTGGTTTGAGGGTCAGCTCAGCCATGATACAATAGAATAACAAGCAGACTTTTCAGTTATTTGATTCTAGCCCCTGATTCCCAAACAGCACTTCTGGACCCACTGACAGCCTGGAGGACCTGGCCACCCTGAGGAGAAGGACACAGGCCTAGCTGGCTTTGTCACCTGCTGATTATAGAACCCCAGGGCCTTAAAGGAACACAGGCAGTAGCCAGGGAGTGGTTACAGCAGGCCCTGGTGACAGTCAGTGCTATGTTGGTCTTAGGTCTAACCTAGTGCAGTCCTGCTGGTGGTGGCCACAGGGGTGCTTGTGTCACTCCAACTCAAGATTTAGTTGGCTGAAAGAAGAGACTCTATATTTTAGATAAAGTAAGAAAATGAAACAAGAGTCTCTGCCTCATAATCCAGAGAAAGTTTCCAGATCTTTTCCAGGACCATCAAGGCAATATCTCTATGACAATGTAAGAACCATAGTGTTACAAGGCTTGGGGTGCCCCCCAAAGCAGATATAGCTTAGGTCACAACACCCAAGTCCTTTCAAATATATGAAAAGCCTTCTGAAGAAGGGCAGCTTTACATAAGCCCAGGCTGTGAAGACTACAACATATACCTAACTCTTCAATGCCCAGAAACCTAAGAACATCTACTACCATCAATGCCATCCAGGAAAACATGACCTTACCATATGAACTAAATAAAGATACCAGGGACCAGTACTGGAGAAATAGAGATATGTGACCTTTCAGCCAGAGAATTCAAAAGAGTTGTGTTGGGAAAACTCAAAGAAATTCAAGATAACACGGAGAAGGAATTCAGAATTCTTTAAGTCATTTGCGACAGCACAGAAAGAACTGGAGATAATTACGCTGAGTGCAATAAGCTAAGGACAGAAAGAAGAAAGACAAACATTGCATCTTCTCACTTATTTGTGGGATCTAATCAAATCAATTGAACTCATGAAGATCGAGAGTAGAAGAATGGTTCCCATTGGCTGGGAAGGGTAGTGGGGCATTGTAGTGGAGGTGGGGATGGCTAATGGGTACAAAAATAATAGAAAGAATAAATAACATTTAATTTTTGATAGCACAATAGGGTGACTGCAGTCAATAATAACTGTATATTTTTAAATAACTGAAATAATGTAATTAGATTATTTGTAGCTCAAAGGATAAATGCTTAAGGGCACGGATACCCCATTCTCCATGATGTGTTTATTTCACATTGCATGCGTGTATCAAAACATCTCATGTGCCCCATAAATATATACACCTATGATGTACCTACAAAAAGTTTTTAAAATAATAAATAGCTAACAGACACAGAGATCAATGGAACAAAACAGAAAGCCCAGAATTAAATGAATGCATTTATAGCCAACACATTTTTTACAGACATGAAGAATATTCATTGGGGAAAGCACACTCTCTTCCATAAATTTTGCTGGGAAAACTGGATATTCAACTGCAGAAAAATGAAACTAGATCCCTATCTCTGACCATATACAAAAATAAAATCAAAATCAATTAAAGACTTAAAATTATGAAATTACTGGAAGACTAAAACTATGAAACTGAAACTAAAGATTAAAACAATAAAACTGCTGGAATAAAACACTGGGGAATGCTCCAAAACTTTGGACTTGGCAGAGATATTTTGTGTAAGAAATCAATGCAGACAACCAAAGTAAAAACAGACAAAGAGGTATGCTGGGAAGATGGCCGCCTAAGAACAGCTCAGGACTTCAGCTCCCAGTGAAAGTGCAGAGGGTGAGTGGACGCCGCATTTCCAGACGAACTCTTACTGCCCACAGACCAGGAGATACCCAGGCAGAGGGGTCGCCAGCATCGCAGTCCCAGCCGGTGCGGCTGTTTTGACCCCTGTGGAGCTGATTCCGCCGGCGCGGCTGCTGTGACCACTCCCTGTTGCTGCGGTTCTCCGGACAAAAGCCACTGGTCTGGGAGCCCTCTTAGCGGGCGAGCAGAGCCCTGAGACGGCAGAGTTGCCCATTCATCTGAAATAGCGAGTCAGGCCAGGAGATTCCTAGGCAAAAAATCCGCCAGGAGCCGGCGCCGCAGTTCGAGCCGACTCCGTGAGTCGCAGCACGGGAGATCCCGGCGCCTTTTCAACAAGCGACCGGAACGCGGGGTCGTTCAACTTAAAAGAAAAGACTCTGAGTCAGGGAGCCAGGTGATCAGGCTCAGTTGGTCCCACCCCTCCACCCCCAACAACAACGAAAACAAAAACAGTAATTGGAAACCCTCTGGGTTGAGCCCTTCAAACCAAGCACAGCTGAATCGGGACGGTCCGGCTCCGTGGGGGACGGGCTTCCGCCATTACTGAGACTCTCCACGGCTACGGAGGCAGGCTGCCATTGCCGAGGCAACCCGCCGTTGCCGAGGCAACCTGCCACAACAGAGAGAGTCCACCATAACAGAGGCGGGGCCACCATTGCCAAGACAGTTCTAACTACGCCCATATAAAAAGGACTACAGGGAAGAGCTCAGGGCAGCTGGGCGGAGCCCACAGCAGCTCAGCAAAGCCCCTGCGGGCAGGCAGTGGCTAGGCATGCTGCTAGCTGGGCGGGTCAGACCTGAAAGAAAAATCAAAAAAGGCAGTAGTGCAACGGAAACTCATAAAGCTCCAACTCCCTGGGACAGAGACAGACAACAGGTGGATAAACCCACAAAAATGGGAAGAAACCAGCGCAAAAAGGATGAAAACTCCCGAAACCAGAACACCTCTCCTCCTAAAAGGGATCACAACTCCTCACCAGCAAGGGAACCAGACCGGATGGAGAAGGAGGGTGATGAAATGACAGAATCAGACTTCAGAAGGTGGGTAGTAAGAAACTACAATGAGCTAAAAGAACATGTTCTAACCGAACACAAAGAAAATAGGAACCTTGAAAAAAGCTTGGACGAACTGCTGACGAGAATGGACAGCATAGAGAGGAGTATAAGTGAATTGATGGAGCTGAAAAACGCAAGACGAGAACTTCGTGAAGCATGCATAAGCTTCAATAGCCGAATTGACCAAGCAGAAGAAAGGATATCAGAGGTCGAAGATCAACTCAATGAAATAAAAAGAGAAGGCAAGAACAGAGAAAAAAGCACAAAAAGGAATGAACAAAATCTTCAAGAAATGTGGGACTATGTGAAAAGACCTAATCTACATCTGATAGGTGTACCTGAATGTGATGAAGAGAATGAATCCAAGCTGGAAAATACTCTTCAGGATATTATCCAGGAAAACTTCCCCAACCTAGCAAGGCAGACCAATATTCAAATCCAGGAAATACAGAGAACACCACAAAGATATTCCTTAAGAAGAGCAACCCCACGCCACATAATCGTCAGATTCACCAGGGTTGAAATGAAAGAGAAAATGCTAAGGGCAGCCAGAGAGAAAGGTCGGGTTACCCACAAAGGGAAGCCCATTAGACTCACAGCAGATCTCTCAGCAGAAACCCTACAAGTCAGAAGAGATTGGGGGCCAATATTCAACATCCTTAAAGAAAAGAACTTTCAACCCAGAATCTCCTATCCAGCCAAACTCAGCTTCATAAGTGAAGGAAAAATAAAATCCTTTGTGAACAAGCAAGCACTCAGAGATTTCATCACCACCAAACCTGCTCTACAAGAACTCCTGAAGAGGCTCTACACATATAAAGGAACAACCAGTACCAGCCACTCCAAAAACACACCAAATGGTAAAAGAGCATCAACACAATCAAGAATCTGCATCAACTAACCAACAAAACAGCCAGGTAGCATCAAAATGACAGTATCAAATTCACACATAACAATACTATCCCTAAATGTCAATGGACTAAATGCCCCAATCAAAAGACACAGACTGGCAAATTGGATAAAAAGCCAAAACCCATCAGTGTGCTGTATCCAGGAAACCCATCTTACATGCAAGGATACACAAAGGCTCAAAATAAAGGGATGGAGGAAGATCTACCAAGCAAATGGAGAGCAAAAAAAGGCAGGAGTTGCAATTCTCATCTCTGATAAAATAGATTTTAAAGCAACAAAGATCAAAAGGGACAAAGAAGGACATTACATAATGGTAAAAGGATCACTGCAACAAGAAGAGCTAACGATCCTAAATATATATGCACCCAATACAGGAGCACCCAGATACATAAGGCAAGTTCTTAATGACTTACAAAGAGACTTAGACTCCCACACAATAATAGTGGGAGACTTTAACACCCCATTGTCAATATTAGACAGATCAACCAGACAGAAAATCAACAAAGATATCCAGGACCTGAATACAGACCTGGAACAAGCAAACCTAATAGACATTTACAGAACTCTCCACCCCAAATCCACAGAATATACATTCTTCTCAGCACCACATCACACCTACTCTAAAATTGACCACATAATTGGCAATAAATCACTCCTCAGCAAATGCAAAAGAACAGAAATCATAACAAACAGTCTCTCAGACCACAGTGCAATCGAGTTAGAACTCAGAATGCAGAAACTAACTCAGAATCGCACAGCTTCATGGAAACTGAACAACTTGCTCTTGAATGTTGACTGGATAAACAATGAAATGAAAGCAGAAATAAAGATGTTCTTCGAAACCAATGAGAACGAAGACACAACATACCAGAATCTCTGGGACACATTTAAAGCAGTCTCTAGAGGAAAATATATAGCAATGAGTGCCCACATGAGAAGAAAGGAGAGATCTAAAATTGACACCCTATCGTCAAAATTGAAAGAGCTAGAGGAGCAAGATCAAAAAAACTCAAAACCTAGCAGAAGACAGGAAATAACTAAGATCAGAGCAGAACTGAAGGAAATAGAGACACAAAAAACTCTTCAAAAAATCAATAAATCCAGGAGCTGGTTTTTTGAAAAGATCAACAAAATAGACAGACCACTAGCCAGATTAATAAAAAAGAAAAGAGAGAATAACCAAATTGATGCAATAAAAAACGATAAAGGGGATATCACCACAGATTCCACAGAAATCCAAACCATCATCAGAGATTATTACAAACAACTCTATGCACATAAACTAGTAAACCTGGAAGAAATGGATAAATTCCTGGACACCTGCATCCTCCCAAGCCTAAACCCGGAAGAAGCCGAAACCCTGAATAGACCAATAACATGGTCTGAAGTCGAGGCAGCAATAAAGAGCCTACCACCCAAAAAAAGCCCAGGTCCAGATGGGTTCACAGCTGAATTCTACCAGACATACAAGGAGGAGCTGATACCATTCCTTCTGAAACTATTCCAGACAATCCAAAAAGAGGGAATCCTTCCCAAATCATTTTACGAGACAAACATCATCTTGATACCGAAACCCGGCAGAGACTCAACAAGAAAAGAAAATTTCAGGCCAATATCCATGATGAACATAGATGCAAAAATCTTCAATAAAATACTGGCAAACCGATTGCAACAGCATATCAAGAAGCTCATCCACCATGATCAAGTAGGATTCATCCCGGGGATGCAAGGCTGGTTCAACATACGCAAGTCCATAAACGTAATTCACCACATAAACAGAACCAAAGACAAAAACCACATGATTATCTCGATTGATGCAGAGAAGGCTTTTGACAAAATTCAACAACCCTTTATGCTAAAAACCCTCAATAAACTAGGTATTGACGGAACGTATCTCAAAACAATAAAAGCTATTTACAACAAACCAACAGCCAATATCATACTGAATGGGCAAAAACTGGAAGCATTCCCTTTGAAATCTGGCACTAGACAAGGATGCCCTCTCTCACCACTCCTATTCAATATAGTACTGGAAGTTCTAGCCAGAGCAATCAGGCAAGAAAAAGAAATAAAGGGTATCCAAATTGGAAAGGAGGAAATCAAATTGTCTTTATTTGCAGATGACATGATTGTATATCTGGAAGACCCCATCATCTC